TTGACCGGAAACGGTAATTTAGCCATGGTGTTCTACTCAAGAGGCCCCTTGCTTGGAAGGAAATAAGTGGTCTCACTATTGTTGAGTAAATGGAGGTATCATTATTGTTGAATAGGGTGGGTTGAAATGAGCCTAAAGAAGCGAGCAAAGTTATGCCATGTTTGCCTGAGAACGTTCATATTTTTCAGAATGTATTATTGAAACAAATTACGTCAAAATGCTTGCGCATGTCCGCCCGCAACCGCGAGAGCAAGGACAAGGATGATCTGGGTTGCAACCTCCATAAAACCGAAAAGTCTCGGCCACTACAAGTGCCACCAGACAGCGGGCGCCGTGTTAATCTGTCTTCTACATAGATATATAGCTGCAAAAACACAAAAATAGAGATTTTACCTTCACTCTTCCAGTTCAACCCATAGATTCCAGCCCCACTTCGCGGTGCTTTAAGGGCCGATCTGTTTTTTTTTCATCAGTCTAAAATTGCACAGTGAAATATGCGCTCAGACTGCTTTCCAAATGTGAGATCTGATGTCATGAAGCGTCCAAGGATGCTTTTTCAGAAGCGTCGTCATTTTCGTCCACCCGTTGGCCGCAACTCAATATTAGCTGCGCGGCCTGCGGAGACTGCAACGCCTGTGGTCGAGGCTTGTTTTTCTAAGATTTTCGAGTGCGCGTGCTCAAAGTTACATCGCATAGCTTGTATTACTAGTCGATTGAAGTTTTAAAGGGTAGCAATTTCAGAGGTGTCATCATTTTCGTCCTACGGTGGGCCACGGCTAAATATTTTATCTGCTGGGTTAAGGCTCCGCGGACAAGGAGACTGCAACGCCTGGTGTCGAGTTTTTTTTCTAAGATTTGGAAGTGTGCATGTTAAAAAGCACGGTACATAAACTGTATCACTAATCGATTCTGACTGAGTGGTGAACATTTTCAGACAAACATGGCTTGGCCATGTTAATACACATTGTTGACCACTCGATCTGCAATCAAATTTTCAACTTCAAGTTTGGATCAAACATATCGATCTACAAGCTACCTTCGCGATGTCCTCAATGTCCGCAGAACCCGGATAAATTGTTTTGATAAATCATCTGGATTCTGTCGGTTTAGAATGAGTCTTCTATCCATTGCAAATTAATAGCGCCGGTGATTTCTTCCATACAGTCGTTCACCGCCTGATTTCTGCAGTTTATTGACCTCAAAACACAAACAGAAATGAGCTTGCGATTGCTCCTGGTTTCTGTTCTGGTTACAAGGTAAAAATAACAATAATGCGAATAAAACCGTGTCACTTGTTAACAGGTAAGCTATATCCGGGGACTTTTTTTTTGGGGGGGGGGGGTCACCGTAAGATGGGCTTTCGTCACCCTTGTGTTCCCCTTGGCAAGGCTCTGGCTACGCCCCTGCCTATACACAAAAGCAGATCAAGTCGTATACATTGCATGACGGACAATGAAGTGTCCGTTGGGCCAATTCATTCCTTAGGCAGACAGCTTCCCGGAGGCTATTTTTGTGCGATGGTGCGGTGTGAGGGAAGATAATTCGGAACAAGATATTGTTGCAGGTGTCCAACACATCTTTCATACGCCATGTAGTAGTAACGCCGATCCAAAAGCATGCAACAAAGCAGCCATGCGATCAGTTCGCGGTCAGTCATGCGGGAGACATCCAGGCCAGGGCAGTGGCCGCCGACAGCGGACAAGAGCAGGGCCCAGATAAGAAACATATGACAGATGGGCCTTAGTATGTGGCTTGATTTTTAAAATAGAATCTACGGTTTTATGGCTTTTGTCACATTGTTTCTAGCAGTTTCAAGCTCTCGAATTTGTTTCCGCCTAAAATGCTGCGACAAGTCTCATCTCCTGAAAAGCAGCCAGCGAACTGAAGGCGCACGAAAAATCTGTCGCACTGTGAGCCACCGATCCACTTTCAAACTTCTCACCAGTCTACGTCCAGGCCATATTTTAACATGTACACTGTGGAGGCAGATGCTTCCTCAATGACGCAAAGTGCCTACTCGCTCGTGGAATTTCGACTCCCCAGGAAAGACGATAATTAAATGGACGAATAATCTAGGGAAGCTGGATAGCCTTATTTGCCAAATGACATCAGTCGAATGGGCAAGATTGTGCACCAGTGAGAAACAGCTTTAGATGGATATTTAGCAAAGCAGCCGTGATATTTGAATAAAGAGCGATAATAACCTGCATCCCCCCCCCGCCCCTCGGGCATCGGGCTCGCTCGCTCGCTCGCTTTCCAGACAAAAGTTCCTGAAGTACACCCTGAGGTGGGCCCCCACTTTTGGAATCGTTCCTGCACGTATGCTAACCCATAAACCGGTGCAAAGTTCTGTGCTCCGGTACACAAGGCCTCAACCGAGCTGTCTGCTAGAGATACGTTAGTAGAAGGAGGAAAAGAAAACGCCAGCGGGAAAAAAAGACAGATTTGCTGTCGCGTCGTCTCTTTTACAACTTCGGGAGAGTGCCATATCTTGGGTGTCGTACTTTTTTGCAGAGAATGGCGTTCTTTTTTATAACATTGACCTGTGACCTAGAAATAAGGAAAAATGACCCGTTCACGACGAGTGTCGCACAGCCCGAAATTGCTCACGCTTGTGTTCGCGACACGCATTCAGCAGGTGAAGAGAGAGATATCACCTTGATAACATTTGATACCCCATTCAAGCACTCATTCCCTTCTGCTACAAGACCTTCTAACGAACCATATTAAACACATCAAACTTACCCATCATGAACAATCCAATTGAACAGCTACAGATCTTGTAAGTCTGTTTCTTACCACACAAAGAAAGCCCTTCAAACACTCAGGATGATGAACTCGTAGTACTCGCCAAAAACATCAAGGTGCCATAAAAATGATAAAAGAAACGGATGGTGCGTTTGTAAGGCCTGACGTGCGGCTGGCGCGCTCGGATCTGCCGCGGTCGGCCGCCGTGTGACCCTCGGTCAGGGGGCATGCACGCGCAGCCGACGGCGGAGGGCCATGTCGATGTAAGAGTGTCGTGGCTGGAGCTGCATCGTCAATACGACGTGAAGCAACGTAAGCTTTACACACGCGTTTTGGCACCAGCACCAGTGACATCCCACGTCTTCATGGGAATGTTTTTCTTTTGAAGAATTGAAGCATGCATGAAATATGATGAAATAAGCTCACCTTATAACAATGGTTGCACTCTCAAGTGAAAAAGACTGCTCTAAAAAACACAGCTGCTCAGGATGATAAATATTCTCTTCAAAATGCTATTGTTCCATACGTCACCGTTCTTTGCACAACATTGATTGAAAGCCAAATGACGGTCGTTATATCGCAGAATCTTTCTCGCGAACGTCAGATAAAAACTACCTGACAATTATATCTTTATTGGACTTGATCACCACGTGGCTAATATCATGACATCATTTGAATGACGTCATCGTGGCGTCATGGATGCAGGGGTGATCTTGAAATAGTCCCCTTAAAATAGTCTGCACACCTCCACCGGGGCAAAGCTCAGCAACTAGAGGGGTTTAGAAGAGGATTAGAGGACACTAGAGGGTTTTAGAAAATAGGGTTTTAGAGCTGTGAACTGTGCTGAATGTCCGTCAAGATAGCTTTCAATCGTTCGAAACCCCACACCTCTGTGGAACGGTCCCTTCTATGGACGGTGCCCATGCGAATGCCAAATGTTATCGGTTTTTGAAGATGAATGTGATCCGCAGCTCCAGAACCGCAAATGAGATCGTCGATGTGCTATTTGCTGGTAAAGTTTCGAAGAGACAAGCTGAGCAACCTGCGAGTGTGGGCTTCGCTTCGGTGCCTCAAAATGGTTATGTTTTTTTGGGGTGCATATTCGTTCAGTTTCTTCCAACCTCTCAGTTTTCACACTGAGAACAGCAGAGATGCAAAGGCAAAGGTCACCAGTTTCAGAACGGCCGATGAAATCGCATGCGCTTTATCTTCTGGTAAAGGTTTCAAGCAGATCGGTTCAGCAGTTCAGTTTCCGAGTCTGGACTCGGCGGCAATGCCTTAAAGTGGTTTATGCTGTTTTTGAAGGCAAAGATGGTGACCTGAGGTCACCAGTTTTAGGATGGATGGTGAAATCGCATCCTCTCTATCTTTTGGTAAAGGTTTCAAGCAGATCGGTTCGGCGGTTTCCGAGCTTGAACTTGGCTGCAATGCCATCAAGTGGCTTAGGCGGTTTGAAGGTAAAGATGGTGGCCTGAGGTCACCAGTCTGAGAACGGCCAATGAAACCGCATGCTAGCTCTCGATTGGTGCTGGTTTGAAGAAAATCTGATCAGCAGTTCCGCAGTTTGAAGTTCGTTGCATGAATGGCAGTGAAGTAATGTCGTCCATGTAAAATCACTAACAACGGCTACCCGACTACTAATCCATGACTGCACCCTTCCTTGGGAGCTAGAACAACGGCCGAATGTACTTTTCGTCGAAACATCACAAATGTTACTTCGGGAGTAATGCAAGTTACGCATTTGTGGGTCTGGTATCCTGACACTTCAGGAGCAGCTCTGAGGTGCCTTAAAAAGGAGGAAAATGAGATCACTTGAATTTTTGGCCTGGTCATCCGCTATCACCGGTCCCGGAAGTTGCGCAATCCCTTGGACCCAAAATCAGCTCTGTCGTGTCATGAACTCGGACCACAATCGGTCATTTCTTAACAAAATGGCCTCGTACGCATCGGCATTGCAGACCACCGGATGTCGTAAATTTCCAACCCGAATGGTATAAGCACAATCCTGGACGTGAAAAGGCTGCCGTCACCAAGGGTCTGCCATTGTTCTGGCCAATTTTCCCCTCTACGAACATCCCCCCATCGAAGAAACATCCGCCAGCCTCTGGACACCAGGGCTGCTCCAGAAGGACAGACCGACGGTCAGTGGTCGCTCATGTAACGTGCCTCAGTAGACTGCTTTCATCTCCAACAAAAATGGGGTACTTTTCAGGAAATGCACGTGTATTGAAACCAAACAGTCACACAACGCAATCAAACATAACACTCGTTTCAAGCATCGCAATAAATAGACAAACATATAAGTGTAGTCGGTGTATACTGTTCTCATCCAAAGAATGAAAAGAAAGGACTGCACTCAGAGTCACTGGTATGTGGGCTGGTACTGCGGTGCGGGGGCGGCCTGGTAGCTGGGAGCAGGGGCAGCCTGGTAGCTGGCCTGGGTCGCCGGCACCTCCGGGGTCGGGTACTCGGTGGGCACGGGGGTCGGCAGGTGGTCACCCTGTGGCTGGAAGCCGTTGGCGTCGACCACGTACGTCACGGTGTAGCTGACACCGTCGTCGCCGGTGTAGCTGTACTGGCCCTGGACGGCGTAGCTCTGCTCATCTCCGTAGCCGGCCACGGCCTGGCCAGACTCGGAGGCGTAGATGCCGTTCTCAGTCTGGAAGCTGTGGAAAAGGAAGTATTATAAACAGAGCGCATTAGCATGAACAACAATCCGTGCGAACGTTTACTGCAAAGTGGTCAACACCCACTATAGGCCGTGACCCGCGGATACACTATATCATGTACCTTGCTAATTTTGATATGTGATGGTGCATTTCAAGTAACTCTAACTTGGCTTGCAATTTTTAGATAAGGCGATACATTTAAAACAACCTTTTGATTCCTGGAGCAGTTTGACTTTTTATCACCATTCGAATTGGTTGAAGCGAATGCAGCTGTAACTGCAAAGTGATTGAAACCCAAAATTTGATGCATCCAAACAGCCACGTAACTTTCTCGGTATTCAAAACGCTTCCTTAAAAAAATGGATGTCATGCTAGGAGTAGATAAAACGTATGCTGCGTTGAAACCAAAGGTTTGATCAACCTAAAAAATGAAATGGCGCTTGTTATAGTTCTCTTTATAATAACCTAAGATTAGAGCAAAAAAAAAATCAAGAATCTATGCACCGCAAAGAAGCGTACATGGAAATAATTTATTGCCGAACTTAGCAAAAGCTACAGACACATGCATCTTTGTACCTAACTGTCTATAAGCTCAAGTCCACATAAGAAGGAAAAATATGGAAAAGCTAGCGTGAAAACGGCTTCGTTATCTTACCTGGAATCGTAGGACTGGTCGTCACGCAGGTCAAACTCCTGGCTCAGGATCTCGATCACCTTGGGGGAGTACTTGGGGGCAGCAGGAGCGGAGTAAGAGGGCTGAGCAGGAGCAGGGTACGAAGGCTGGGCGAGGGCAGAGTACGAAGGCTGAGCGGGGGCAGAGTACGAGGGCGGAGCGGGGACAGAGTATGAACGCGGGGCGGGCAGCCTGTCGGCAGCAGCAACGGCCAGGACGGCAGCAACGATGAACTGAAACAAGTCGAGTTGTCCTCAAAACATGTAGCAATCAATTTCCTATGCACGCGATGCTTTACATTTGCTTTACAAAGTCGTGCCGTCCACATGGCTTGACTTTTGCCATGGCTGAGGTATTCCACTATATGAACGCGGTATGAAAACTTTTTGTTACAGCTGGCGATGGCAGTTCCAACGGACGGGCGTCGGATACATAATTCTTCAACGTCATGAAAAATAGCCAAATTGTCGTAGTTTTCTTCCGTTTTAGAGCAATTTGCGCCAAATGTATACCTTGTTCTTAAGCCAGACTTTGGTCCCGTTCCAAGACACTAGGCTGGACCCGCTCTGGTATCCAAAAATGCCTTACAAAAGGAGAAATGTCTTGCCCGGTTATCTGCTTACTCTCTCAGAAAACGTAGCAGTGGAATGGCTTGTTCTAGAACACTACTCACCAGCTTCATCTCGGAGTAGGGTGTGTGTTCTGCGGAGTGCAGGGATCTAGTGATGCCCTGCACCGGTCAGCGGGGCCTTATATACCGGTCCGACTGATCAGCTGATATTTGGCGAGACGTACACTCACCATCCCCGCAGCGTTACACTTTTACACGGACAAGGTCAGTGGAAAGCAGCCACGATCTGGCAGGGACAATGACTGGAGGCTCACCGTACGGTCTAGTCTGAGGCTGAGACAATGCATATGACGGTGATGTGTCTTGGCAAACCTAGCGTAATGCGTTTATCCGGACGTCAAGCGGGAAGTGGTCTGCTAGTGGGATCTTAACACAGTGGGCGCCACGGAATAATGCAAGTGAAAATGATACGATTCAGGTGTTTAGCAGATACGGAGAAAAGCACGCACGGCAGCCAGAAAAAGTCCGTGAGGAAATTTCCTCTTGTGTGTCAGGTACCCATAGCGACGAGGCTCCCGACGCAGAAATGAGTAAACGTGTACTTGAGGTGTGCTGCAGTTTGTACGTCTCGCCTTAGTTGCCCAAATTCAGCCACTTCTCGAGACACCACTGGGGTAACGTTGAGCCCGGAAGGCTAATGACAATGCTGCGTCTGTATGGTAGGATTCGGTGGCAATGGGTCCTTTTATGGAAATCTTCATTGATAAGTCTATAGAGACTGTTTTTCCACACTTTTAAACGTGGACGTCTTTAAACACCAGGCTGTCTTCCGAAATGCACTGCTAAGAAAACAGGGTGGCCTTGTGGCTCCTCATAGGAATGACTCCTTTTTAAAAGGCGGCACGTAGGAATTGAATCAAATTTCGCATTTTTCAAAGCTATAATCACGAACGACTTTTTGCAAACATTCTTCAGCCTTGAGAAGAAACCCAACGGACGGCCGGTTTCAACGCGATAGAAACAATGGAAGCCGTGCGATGGCGACGTTAGCGTAGTGTATCTTGGTGCAACGTTCGAAGTAACATAAAATAGGCGGTGAAAGAGAACTGTTTAGGACAGTCATACAATTCAGCGCCATAACAATAACGTCAACATGATAGGGTTCCCAGAAGACTGAATCTGTTTGCCCAAATCGCGGAAAATCCAGTGAAAAAGCCTATTTACACAAGCCGGTTTGCACCTTTCTTTGAATTACCTACAACACAGACGCACGCCTTTGCTCCTGACGCGTACGAAGAGACGAACACTTTTAGAATGAAACAGACTGGTGACAGACTTGTTTTCTTCTGAATACTGCATGTTTCTAGCTGGCAACAGATGTTATTCGCATCACTGAGCTGTTCCCACTTGAGATCTTAAGATGTAGCTTGAGCTCTTTTGGGCTGGTAGAACGTAATCGGGCTTGATTGGGTGCAATGTGTTAAAGGAAACCGTCACTTTTGCCTTCCCACATGGAGTTGCATTATATGGAATTTACCCTTACTCCGGGTATCGTAGTCTCGCTGAACTACATAAATTTTCAGTAACTTGGACAGCCTTCAACATTCAGCAGAATTTTGGCTAACTCCACAATTAATATTGATGCTTCTGTACGTTACGGCATGGCCAGATGGCCTCTGGCCTGGCCTGGATGGCCTCTTTAAGTAATATCCTCCTCGATGCATCATTGTTTGATTTCGTCGTCGTGCCTCGCACAACATTAAATGAGAGCCAATTGACGGCCGTTGGAGGTTATGCCAGGAAACGCCAAATATGACCGACTCAGCCACTATATGTTTTGGGGCCTTGATAGGCACATTGCTTATAGAATGGCAGGTTTGGAATTACGGCAATATGCTTTTCTTGGCCTTTATCGGCACATTGCTTATAGAATGTCAGGTTTGGCATGGCGGTGTTATGACGTGAGCGCCAAGCTCACCTAGACATACCCTCACCGAAAAAGTCGCGGGCATTTATCAATTATCTTCGCGGGCATGTAGCTCAAAAACAAAAGGGGCCAGGTCTTAATATAGATGCACGACTGTGAACCATACCACATGATCTTCAAAATGTCTCTTTCAGTTCAAAACCTGATAGAAATGTGGAGCACTCACTTTTAAAGCAATTGTTATGCTCCAGAACAGCTGAGCTCTAACCGACAATTTTTCCTTGATTTCAACAAGAAGTTGGGCTATACCACTGTTTATTTTTGGCATAATTCATTTAACTTCCGCGAATAACGACCATTCGATGCATCTTGATGCAATACAGCTAGGCTACCGGAAACCAGCAGACTTTGGATCCAAATATGTTAGTGTGAATCAGCATACTTTACAGGGGATTCACAGCCCACGCGGTTCGTTGGGACGCCGTTTTGAACCAGGTGGAGCTTGAGTGCCTTCATGTCATTATGAATATTTGACGCCACCTTAAAAGACAGCAAGTTTACATTAAATCACAGCTAATCGTGCTCCTGCACTGCTCCGTATCACAAGCGGTGGCGGCCTATCTTAGCACGTATTCTTGGTAATGCATGTTGAATGACACCTTGCGTCTCATACTGTTGCTGTGCTGAATTGTTGATGGCGTAAACGATCTGTTCAGGTCTGCCTGTTGTCATGGCTGTGTGAATTACGCACATCCTGTGATATTTGGCAAGGCTCTCTTGGCAGGGGCCCAAAATTTAATAGTTTTCCTTTTCTTGGGAGGCTGCGTGACGCCATGTGTGCCATATAATTGTATAAAGTATCGCACGATAGAGGCGACCAAAGCCAGTGGTTGGAAAACCAGCTTTCGGTTTGGCGTGTCCAGCGTGTCTCACGCCAGATAATGAGTGCTGACCAGTACCAGTCAGCGTCAGTGTGGGCTTGATGGCCCATTTCCCGAGACGGGACAGGGCTGGGTCCCGCAATATACATGTCCTAGGACGATGAGGGGTCTCCTATGTCGACCTTGCACTCACAGTGCGCAGCGGGCTGGGGGTTCGTGCCGATTGCATTCTGACGCTGCAGTTACAGTATCCTGACACCTCAGACAGTTTTGAGGTGCCTTAAAAGAACAGTGAAAGAATTAAATGGAGATACCGTATGATCTGGTAACACCATATGACCAATTCCCGAAGTCGTGGAATTTGTTTAACTCAAAATAAACTCTGTCATTTAAACCCAGCTCCGCACGCGATTCGTCGACGCTAATCCGTTGCCCTTTGACCCCGACCCAGCCATCTGACCTACTCAGTCCATTTGTCAAGCCCGAGGCGCATAGATACTGGTTTAACAGCCGTGCGGTTCGATGTTGATTGGCTGATTTTGAACAAGCGGAGGGGCGATCGGCAGTGAGTCACAGGCCGGGGTGTAATAGAATGAAAAACTATCGACATTCATGCCACCCTGGTGACCGAATATTGGAACACTGCTCTCAATAAATGTTGTGCACGTTGCAATGACGTGATAAAACAAAGAGGCATGTGGGAGTATATCTGCTAAACAGAGGAATTGTGCTACCTAGAGCAGACTTTTTTACTTAAAAGTATACCAATCATTTCAAGTGAGCTTCTTTCATCAAATCTGATGTGTGTTTCAATGTCTTCAAATGTGAAACATTGCCTTTAAAATTTGCCATTTGTTCTCAAGGCAGACATGACAGGGAGCATTTCGGCACGCCACTTTCGTAACAGGTCGTACCACGTGCACATTAACTACTATAGCGACGGCGAGTCACCTGTTGAACCGTCCGAAATCAGTATGTTGAACGGACGAACAACATTGAAAGGAAATGTCATCTTATTCTACCAAATGTTCTAGCCACATGAACTCACAGCCAATGACATTACGTCCCGCTTCAACTAAAATCCTCTCGCACGTTTATGTAGGCTGACGCAACGGCTTACGTCCCCTTCACATAGTGGTGAATGCCATATAAGCTGGTATTGCTTCATATTTGACCAAGTAAGCTTTGGTGTCGTCAATTGGCAAGTAATAGCCTAGCCATTATTAATCTTGACTTGCGTTACCCCATTTTATTATTATTTGACGTTTAAATTGAAGAAAAATTCAAATGAAAATGCTTATGCAATTTTAAAGCATTTGTTGCACGTCCAGTTTATGAAGCACAGTTTACGAATATAAAACGCTGTTGAGACGAATTGCACGTAACTAGCACAGTTCTGTAAATATGAAGCACACGAAGTACTTATGACAGACATTCACAAGTTCAAGAAAAAAAGTGGCCAGACATACAATGATAGACCAAAACAGGAATGTTCCATTTTCATCTTTCTTTTCCTACCATTTTCACATCCTTTTCTTTTGTTGTGCACAAAAGCTGGTCATGAAGCATTCATGCTCCTCTGTGGCACGAACACGTACTGTAGAAGCACCTTCACTTCACTTGTGCACTTCAGGCTGCTCGTCTTACGTGCCGACTGCATTCTATGTGAGGACCCTAACCCTCCCCATCCTCCAATGTTTAGTTAAACCCCAAAAGCTTGGCATGGCGGCTGTGTTTTTGGCTACAAGACTACAAAAAGATAGGTGAATTTGGCCATCACATCTGCAATTTTGATTTCTTTCTGCGAGGTGGCGTCTGCATGACTACTATACTACTTAAAGGAAATGTTCCACATTTGTATGGGTTAGCAAGGCATTATTAAATTAGGGAAATATTTCACCCATGTGGTGCCACAAATCTGAATCTTGAACACAAATTATGTTTTACAAATAGAACCTCTTGAGCCGCATTACCATGAAAGCCCATTTGGAACTTTGTTTTGAAGGGAGGTCACTGTGAAAACCGGTGTTATAACTGAAGATCTGTGCGGAAATTGCGAGAAAACCTGCAAGTTGATAGTACCGCGAGCTGTGCAAATGTCAGATCACACTCAGTTGACAAAATAGTGTGAATCGGGGTTCGAAATTTTTGTGATCATTGATGGTGTGTGCCAGTGGGTTGTATTGATCTTGATGTGATGGGGAGTGTGCATACGATAGTTGCACTTCTGAGAGAGAACATTGTTTTTGTATTCTTCAGCCTACTGACTCCCAATAAAATATGATGCATTGATGCCTGCCTCTGCAGATGCAGGTGATGCAGCCTGATGGCTGCAGCGTGTTGCATGACTGTGGAAGTGGAAGATGTGTTTGCATGTTTCTCACCTGCGTTTTGTGGATTACCGGAGCAGTCTGAGCAAGTGATGCCACTTATTGGTTGTCTGCTTTGCTGAAAGTGATTTGTATATTGTGTCATGCGTTTTTGATCAATCGTATGTCAGATGGAAAGTCAATACAAGAGCGCATGCTCGACCCATCTTTTCATGCTGGAATTCACTATGAAAGCGGCATGGGTTGCAGCACAAAAACCATACCGTTGCTCATTTTGTCATGCCGCAGACAGCACTGAGATAGTGCCACAATGTAGCTGTTGACCAGTGCCATTGCAGAATGTACCGTTTTGGTTGACTACTCTATGTCAATCCTATGAGACAGCAGCTTATAAGTTATGGATGACTGGTACAAATTGATTTAACAATGCCAATTCCAATTCCAATGCCAAAAATCAAATTGATTTAACAAGGACTGTCTACAGGAAGAATGCCATTGCATCACAATGGTTAAATCAGGGTTAACTATTAATTGCATAAATCATCCTAGGCCAAACAAATTCTTGGTAGTCCAACCTCACCATGTTAACCACAGCAATAGCAATGCTTTCACAATCAATGTATGGCAACGTTACAAATTCATTAACTTTCGCTTGACACCACATTTCCAGTTACAAACAATAAAGACAACGTTACAAATTTATTAACTTTTGCATGACTCCACATTTCCAGTTACAAACAATAAGGGCAGTAACTGCTGTACACATCGCATGATATCAATGTCAGGACCACAGCAATGGACGCAACGATGGGTCGACAATAAAGTATTGACAAAATCATCATCAACAGCATAGCAGCAACAGCAGCAGCACAACATGTCATGCTTTGATGCTAACAATCTGCCATAAAAGCTGGCGATAGCTACGTTGCGCATGTCAAACAGTCCATCAAAGCTTTTCTTACGGCCAGCACCAAGACAATAAATTCACAAAAAACTCTCCCACTAATCCGCCACCTGACACAGCCCCGCGACGAGAATGGCCGGTTGGCGTCAGCTTTCGTGTGTTTCGAGGCATTTTTTAGAGATCTTTAGGTCTGGCTTCCAGATGCTACCAGGTTTTGCTGTCGTCACGAACCCATTCCATGACGCCATCAAACAACGACGTAATGGGGCGCATTTTTACAAACTTTGAAATTTTGCTACTCAGCGTCGTTTTTAAATCTCGAAAGCTTACTAATAAACACAAATAAGCATTTCCCATCATATCTGATGCCTACCCCAATACCTTCGAATGTGACACATTCCCTTTAAATAACAGACTTTTATAACTTATAGCAAATTAAAAGCAGACCTCGGCTTTCATCAAAATAAACTGGGCTATATGTACTGAGAAAAACTGGGGGTGGGTTTTTGGCTTTCGTTTTTCCCCCATAATTTACCAAAATTGCAAGTGTTATCACTTTTCCTCTCCACTGGCACTGTCCGTCCACCCCTTCCCCCTCCCTCCCCCGCCCTCCGGAGAAATACCCTTCAGTCTCTGGACACCGGGGTTCCCCAAACAGGACAGGCCGATGGCCAGCGCCCGTCCATATAGCGCGCACCGGTAGGCTATAACATGCTCCAAGATCTCCAACAAACATGAGGTACTTCTTGGGAAATGCACATGTATTGAAACGAAACGGTCACGCAACGCAATCAAACATAACACTCATTTCATACATCACAATAAATAGACAAACATGTAAGCGTAGTCGGTGTATACTGCTCTTATCCCAACGATGGACAGCAAGGACTTGACCGGTATCTGGTATCACTGGTATCTGGTATCTGGTATCACTGGTATCTGGCCTGGTACTTGGGTGCGGGCTGATAGCTGGGGGCAGGAGCAGCCTGGTAGCTGGGGGCAGGGGCAGCCTGGTAGCTGGGGGCAGGGGCCGCCTGGTAGCTAGCCTGGGTCGCCGGCACCTCCGGGGTCGGGTACTCGGTGGGCACGGGGGTCGGCAGGTGGTCACCCTGTGGCTGGAAGCCGTTGGCGTCGGCCACGTACGTCACGGTGTAGCTGACACCGTCGTGGCCGGTGTAGCTGTACTGGCCCTGGACGGCGTAGCTCTGCTCATCTCCGTAGCCGGCCACGGCCTGGCCAGACTCGGAGGCGTAGATGCCGTTCTCGGTCTGGTAGCTGGGGAAAAGGGCAGTGTCATCACACAGTGCACTAGTGCTGGCAAAATCTAAGCGAAATCGAACTAACTTGGTAGTAAAACACTTAATATGATGTGTATCCAGCGGGTATTTTATGCTATGTATCTCGCCGATTTTAAGATCAGGCGGATCTTATGAACTAATCTATGCTTGAGGTGCAAGTATAAGATAATATGTTACATTTGACATACACTTTTAAAGCTGGAGGGGGGGGGGAGCAGCTTCACTCTTTGTCACTAGTTGGGTCGCCTGAGGTGAATGCAGCAGTGACTCGCCCTAAGGAGTGACATCGAAAATGGGACAGAGCCAAACAGCCGCGTGCCTTTGCTTGGATGGAAAATATTTTCTTCAAGAATAGATATCATGTTGGGAGTAGTAAGAATTTATTTCGTGTTGAAATCGAAGCTTTGGTCAAGTTAAAAATGTGGTGGCAATAACAACAGTCCGTCTTGGAACAGCTTAAATTTGGAGCGGAAAGAACGATGGGAAAATTGAAAGTTGCATACATGCATAAAGGTATTCATGAGAATAACTCGTCGCCAAATTCTGAAAAAACTTAGCTGCAAATATGCACTTCTTTCCCTGATATTCTTTAAACTAAAGGTGATACGAATTGTGAAAACGTTGGTGGGAAAAGAGCTCAGTTATTTTACCTGGAATCGTAGGACTGGTCGTCACGCAGGTCAAACTCCTGGCTCAGGATCTCGATCACCTTGGGGGCGTACTTGGGGGCAGCGGGGGCAGAGTAGGAGGGCTGGGCAGGGGCAGGGTACGAGGGCGGAGCAGGGGCGGAGTACGAGGGCGGAGCAGGGGCAGAGTACGAGGGGGGAGCAGGCCGCCTGTCAGCGGCAGCAACGGCCAGGACGACAGCAATGATGAGCTGAAACAAAACCAACTGTCCTCAGAACATGCAGCAATGAATTACTTTTCAAGTGATGCTTTACAGTAACGCGCAAATTTGTGGCGGCTTTGATCAGTTTCAAAAGGAATTGCGCCATATTACCACCTTGTTCTAAGCCATACTTTGGTCCCATTTTGGGACACTGACGTACCAACTCCTGGTATCCAAAAATGCCCTATGAAAGGACAAATATCCTTGTCAGGTTATCTGCGTGCTACTCTCAGAGGACGCAGCAGTGGAATGGCTTGTTCTAGAACACATACTCACCAGCTTCATCTTGGAGTATGGCGTGTGTCCTGCGAAGTGCAGGGATCCAGTGATGCCCTGCACCGGTTAGCGGGTCCTTATATACCGGTCCGACTGGTCAGCTGATATTTGGCGAGGCGTACACTCACCATCCCCGCAGCGTTACGCTTTTACACGGACAAGGTCAGTGGAGGGCGGCCACGATCTGGCAGGGCGGCTGGACAATGGCTAGGGGCTCACCGTACGGTCTCATCGGAGTCTAACACAGTGCACATAACGGTGATGCATAGTGGGAAACCTAAAATGATGTGTTTATCCGGACGTCAAGCGCAAATTGGTGCGCTGGCGGGATCTCCACACGGTGGGTGGGCGTCCCGGGATTTTGGAAAATAACGTAACATTATTGGGATAAGTAGGAGACACGGGGGAAAGCATGCACGACGGCTGTGAAAGATCCTTGAGAATTTCCGTCCCGTGTAGTAGGTGCCAAAGGGACGATGCTTTTTCTCGACGCGGTTTTGTATCTGCTTTGGCGCTGGGGTTTTCAGAGCCATTTTTTAACCTTTGAAAAGACATCCGTCTGATGGTCACATGACACCCCAGAAACTCCCATGCAAGAGACTGACTGCGCTCCTCAATGGTTAAAATGAAGTTACGAAAAACGTGAGACTGTTCTAAGAGTTGTGATAACCCGTACCGACACTTAAAGAGGTGTCGCTTCGAAACCCATTAAGAAAATGTTGCACATTTGGAGGTGTTGAAACAAGGATCAGATATGATGAAACAAGCTTACCTCTAATTATTAGTAAACTTTGAACTGGAAAAGGCTTCTCTCGACAATCAAATTTTTGCATTTAGTAAACGCGTCCTTCGATGCGTCACTGTTTGATTGCGTCATGGACCTCTTTTATGACAGCACTCACCTGAAGCCTTGCAATCTTTCGAGAGATAGCCCACGGCAGTGATGTGTGCTTAACAAAACATCGTTAAGTGCTCGTGTTTTGTTCCTTTTTCGTGGTGTTCTTGCCTATTTTCTCCGTGAATTAAAGTTGCTTACTTGCATTTATATGCTCGGTTATGACACTACTCTTAAGTTATTCCAATACAGGTCTTCGCTCCGTGACTGCTACGAAGGACGGCTTCTTGCTTGCGTCATTTACCACAAAACGTGATTTGTTTTAAAATCTGGCATAGCTTACACAGCATTGGTTGAGAGCCAATAGACCGACGTTAAATCCAGAAAACGTGCCCACGAACGCCGGATATGAACGACTGGACAATATTTTTCGTGACATTGAACGCCACATGGCCGGGAAAATGGAAGGATTTCAATGACGTTATTACGGCTTCATCGATGCCTGAGTAACCTTGAAATAGTCTGCACTAAGTAGTCTGCACATCTTCGTGGGCCCTTAGCTCAGAAACTTAGGGGTTTAGGTCTCAAGAAGAGCAGGAATGTGAATTGCACCGAGTGATCTTCAAGATGGTTATTTCAATTAAAAACCCCATACGAATGTGGAACACTTATTTTAAAACCCGATGAGGACGTCTTTGGTCGTGCATGTCGTTATTGACATCGATGATGAATCACAAGAGGTACAAAAAAACTGACCTTTCAACGGATCGGCCGCTGTGCTGGCTCATGTGAGGCCGTCAGCTGGGCGGGGTTCGGAGTGTTGAACCACTGCACGGCAGCACCAGCGACGCTGGACGTGCTGAACGTGGGTTTCGGCAGTGAAAGCGACCACGAAATTTTAGGCACACACGTCCGGGTGGCTGGCTGAATATCACGCACTCGGATGGAGTGGGTGGTGCGGGGCCGATTCGACCAGCGAGACCTCGTGAAATTACTAGAGCTTAGTGATATCCAATTATCAGAGTAGGTAACTCTATACGTAAAGTCACATGTCTGAAATTCTAGTATGCTTAGTTGAGGGCCTTTGTGACAAAAATGTCAAACAAAGTCAAATTCCGGATCCGCGTTGAAAGCACCGTTATGCCTCCTCATGCAACCATCTTGAACCGGGGTTCCTCCTCTAAGCAAATGGTTTATTTAAGTTAAATGCACTTATTTCGCCTTCAGGATGCTATGGTGACCCAAACCCAATCAGATTGTTTTGAATTTTGAAATCAAATTAGTGTCAAGAATTAGGCTAGGAGGTATGGTCCTGACAAAATGAGGCTGATTGGGTTTATTTTAGGTTATAAATCTCCTCTTATCTTGAGACAATCCATACAATGCAATACGACGCCTCCCAAGAGGCCTGCCTGTGAAGAAGTCCCATATATTTCAGGGCGTTCCTGGAAGCTATTGTCCCCTCTCCGAACTCAAAATCCGTGACGTCGCCCTGGCCCACAGAGACGTCACTGGACGTCATTAGCTGGGTCACACATCAACAATCCACATTAATCGTGGGTACACCAGAAACGTGATGTGTTTCAGAGAGATCACTGAAAGCGTTCCCGGGGGTGCTTGGACGGCACGTGGAGCGACGTCGTGCTGGAGACGGAGATACATCTCGGCCGCGCCTTTGCTTGGACAAACCGCAATATGGTCTAGTTGTGGAGGGCACTGCCATGTGCGCTGTACGAGAAGAGGAGAAGCGTTGCTCCTGTTCCTTCTTCCCCAGTGCCTCTTCGCCCTGAGGTGCTCAGCGAAAACACAGTAAGTGGTGGTATACAATGAACAGACCGTATGTGGGATCCTGGAAACCTCCAACAATCTTAGAGAGGGCCCAGGAGCTGTTCAAAGTCTCGTTCTCCTTTCGTGAGCGAACTAATATACCAGGTGGCTCTGCCCTCGCTTAGAGTGCGGATAATGGATCTGGACTGACGCTAGCCAGGCCTCGGCACGACACTTTGATCTTTTATTGGCGATCCGAACTGGTCAATCCAGGCTAGTTGTTATGTGTTCAGCTATACTATTTTAGGTCTCCTGTGGTCTGCACGAAGCTGGTGATGTCGAATGATTAATCTGTCTGTTTAATTGCCAATGAGTGCCAATGCTAATGCCAATGATTATCAACCAGTCTGTTTAATTGGGAAGACCCTTGTTCGGCGTAGCACTGGGAACTCTGAGCAACAGGCGCAGGCCTGTTGAGCTCTGGTTAGTACTGCTGCTCAATGGATACGTACACACCATGTCGACACAGCCACCCCGAGGCCTGCAGAATGTGCCATTTCTGCAACAGTTCAACGGGTTCCGTCTGCACTTGTAACCGTTCTGCAATCACCACTGCAAACGCTGATTCATCAATGGAATGCCGATCCAACTGAAAATGGTTTTGCCAGAAGTGGCATCTGCTTAGGACCCACGCTCGAAGGAAGGAGTTATTGGCTTCGCCATTCAGTATCGAGTCCGGGACCTCCATCCAGGACCAAGCCCGGGACTACCTTTGCGGGCCTGACAACACAACGAGACGTTGACGGCGGTATGAAATCGCCTTCGGTCACTCTTCAAGACGTTTTTCAATCTACGTCGTTCATAGACTACAATTACAGCTGAAACAAACGTGGATGAGGCAGTTGCATACTCGGGTGCGAGGTGAGCAGTTTGCATGCATTTTAACGGGGGGACGCCATATCGCATTAGCCGAAGGCACTAATCCTTGCTCATGGAAGTGGACTGGGCTGACGGCGGCAACATCATGCACTCCGCCAGTTGACCTCCTGGTCTTTGAATTGTAACTAAACCACAAAGCCGGTACAGCACAGTGACCAGGGTCTTCCGGACTGCCATGCCGTTGCATAGCCATCCAAAGATCAACAGCAGCAGCCCAGCCGTTAAAGCGAATGTTCCACATTTGTATCGGGTTTTGAACTGAACTAGCCATTTTTATCATTTAGTGCAGTTCGCAGCCATGCTCTGTTCACAGACCTACCCTTTTTAAAGGGAGTGTTCTACATTTGAATGGGGTTTTTAACTGAAGTAGCCATCTGGACGACCTTTTGGTGCAGTTCACAGCCTTGCCCTTCTCAAAACCTAAATTCGTCTAGTTTCTGAGCTACACGCCCGTGAAACTGGGGACAGTATTTCGAGTTTACCCTGGCATTCATGACCTCATAGCGAGGTCATTTAAATCCTGCCGTTCGATGAGCCATGCGGCAATCAAGACCGAGAAAACTAGGATGGTCGAGTCGTTGATATCTGGCGTTCGTGAGCATTATTGCCAGGTATATGGTCGTCAAATGGCTCTGAATCAACGTTGTGCAAGGTACAATGACGTAATAGACAATGGCGTATCGAGGACCATATTTACTGAACAGAGAAATTATGTTGTCCAAAACGGTGTTTTTCTACGTAAAGGCATACTTATCGTTATAACCGAACTTGTTGCACCCAATCTGATGTGTGCTTCACTGCTTTCAAATGTAAAACATTCGCTTTAACAACATTTGCCTTCCGTTCCCAAGGTAGACAAGGTGTTCCCGGAACAGGTCGCACCACGTGCACATTCAGTGATATAGTAGCGGCGAGTCATCTGTTGAACCCCCCCCCCCAAATCAGAATATTGAAAGGATAAACGACATTGAAGTAAATATCATCTTCTACCAAATACTCTAGCCACATTAACCCACAGCCCATAACGTTACGTCCATCTTGAACTCAGATCACTCCACGCGCACATGTAGGTTGATATGACAGCTTACATGACATTCACCGAGTGGTGAACAGTTATGTACTTCTTCATATTTCACGAGTTAATTGTTTGTGTCCTCAAATTTGCGAGTTGCAGCCCAGCCATTATTAATGTTTACATGTGTTACCCCATTGTATCATTATTTTACCTTTGAATTGACGAAGAATCTGAAAGAAAATACTTATGCGATTTTAAAAGATTTATCGCACGCTCAGCTTATGAAGGACAGTTTACGAATACAGGACCTTGTTAAGAAACATTGCACGTTACTAGTACAATTCATTGACACTCTCTGAAACGCACAAAGTACTGACGACAGATATTGACAAAGTGAAGAAAAAAGCTGGTCAGGAATAAAGTGATCGACCAAAGCTGAAACGTTTCATTTTCATCTTTCTTTTGCTTCCATCTTCATATCTTTTTATTTCGTTGTGCACATGAGTTCGTCATGAAGCATTCGTGCTCATCAATGCCATGAACACAAGCTGTGGAAGCATCACGCACTCCAGGATGCTCGTCTCGGATGTTGATCTGTATTCCATGTTAGGACCCCCCCCACGCCGGTCCTCCAATGTTGAGTTGAACCCCAAAAGCTTGGCATGGCGTCCCAGTGGTTTTTGCTACAAGACTAAAAAAGGCAGGTAAATTTGACCAACGCACAATGGCTATTTTTTATCTTTCTGCCACGTGGCTTCTGCGTTATAACTATGCTCCTTACATAACAGACTTTCATAAGTTGTACCATAATTTAAAGCAGCTATTGGCTCACATCAAAACAGAATGGGCCAAACTTAATGAAAAACTGGCAGTAAGTTTTTGGTATTCGTTTGCATCCGTCCCCCCTATAACTTATAAAAACTGACACCCGTGATGCTCGCTATTATGCTGCACGAAAATATGTGCAAAGATGCACAAATAACAGTGCAGCGGCTGTGCAGGTCATAAATTTTGAGTATGTAATTATTTGACTCCATCAGGGCATTTTAAAATTACCTTTTAAGACGTCGAGCACGGGAAACCTTGTTGGGTTGCGAGCTGTTTTCTTTTACGCGCGAGTATCACTCGGTGTACTACTTTAACTTTAGACCTCTCTCATTACTTGAATATACCTAAAACCTCCCAATAATAATCCTTAACAACGGTTAATTAACAACTAACCCATGGTTTCGCCCCTTTTGAGGGTGAGAATGAGAGCCGAAGGTTCTGTTGGTCGACTCCTCACAAACGTGATTGTATACATTGTGTAAGGTACGCATGTGTAGGTTATGTATTCAGTCATTTCAGAAAAAAACCTTAAGAAATAGCGCAGGATTGAAATGGACAGAACGTATGACCTGGAACGCCCCATCACCGAATTCAGCAATCATGAGATTTCTTTAATTCAGAACGAACTCGGTCATTTTATGAAACCTGAACACAATCGGTCATTTCGTTAACACAATGCTCATATGCGTATCGACATCGCACACCACTGGATGTTTATATCCAACGCGAATGACAAAAGCCCATTCCCGAACATGAAAACAGCGCCGTCACCAAGGAACTGCAATTGCTACCACCTTTCCTCTCTACTGTCATTGCCCGTCCCCCCCCCCCGCCCTCCAGAGGAATACACTCCAGCCTCTGGACAACAGGGTTCCTCAAACAGGACAGCCCGCGGCCAGCGCCCGTTCATATGGCGCGCTCCGATAGGCTGTATGTGGCTTTCATCTCCAACAAACATGAGGTACTTCTTGGGAAATGCACATGTATTGAAACGAAACGGTCACGCAACGCAATATATACAACGCAATATTACACCCATTCCATACATCACAATAAATAGACAAACATATAAGCGTAGTCGGTGTACACTGCTCTTATCCCAACGATGGACAGAAAGGACTTGACTTATAATCACTGATATCTGGCCTGGTACTGGGGTGCGGGGGCGGGCTGATAGCTGGGGGCAGGGGCAGCCTGGTACCTGGGGGCAGGGGCAGCCTGGTAGCTGGCCTGGGTCGCTGGCACCTCCGGGGTCGGGTACTCGGTGGGCACGGGGGTCGGCAGGTGGTCACCCTGCGGCTGGAAGCCGTTGGCGTCGGCCACATACGACACGGTGTAGCTGACACCGTCGTCGCCGGTGTAGCTGTACTGGCCCTGGACGGCGTAGCTCTGCTCATCTCCGTAGCCAGCCACGGCCTGGCCCGACTCGGAGGCGTAGATGCCATTCTCTGTCCGGTAGCTGGTGAAAAGGGTAGAATTATTACAGAACGCGCTAAGGTGGGCAAAAATCCAGGCGAAATTGGAGGAACTTTAATAAGGTAGTTAAACACTAAATATCCAGCGGTTGCGTTATGCTAGGCATCTCGTCAATTTTAAGATCTCGCGGTTTAATTGAACGCACTTTGGCTTGATGTGCAAGTTTAAGATAAGGCGTTACATTTGACATACACTTTTGGAGCTGAGGGGAAGGGGGTGGCAGCTTCACCCTTCGAACTATTTGGACAGCCTAAAGTGAATGCAGCAGTGGCTTTCCCTAATGAGTGACACCGAAAGTGGGATAGAGCCCAACAGCCGCATGCCTTTGCTTGGATGGAAAATATTTTCTTACAAAATAGATATCATGTTGAGATTAAATGACACCTATTTCGTGCTGAACTCAAAGCTTTGGTCCAGCTAAAAATGTGGTGGTGTTAGTAACAGTCCGTTTTGTAATAGCTTAAATTTAGAGGGGAAAAGCACTCGGAAAATTGAAAGCTGCATGCGATGCATACGAGCATTCATGAGAGTAACTCTGTGCCGAAGGTTGAAAAACCAAAGTTCAAAATATGGACTTCTTTACATGACCTGATTTAAACTTCAGGTGATAAGAATTGTGAAGACGTTGGTGGGATAGAGCTTATTTATCTCACCTGGCGTCGTAAGACTGGTCGTCACGCAGGTCGAACTCCTGACTCAGGATCTCGATCACCTTGGGGGCGTACTTGGGGGCAGCAGGGGCAGAGTACGAGGGCTGGGCAGGGGCAGAGTACGAGGGCGGAGCAGGGGCAGAGTACGAGGGCCGAGCAGGGGCAGAGTACGAAGGTGGAGCAGGCTGCCTGTCAGCGGCAGCAACGGCCAGGACAGCAGCAACGATGAACTGAAACAAAACCAACTGTCCTCAGAACATAACGAATTAATTACTTTTACAAGTGATGCTTTACAGTAATGTGCAAATTTATGGTAGTCTTGGTCAGTTTGAAAAGGAATTTGTGCCAAATTACCGCCTTGTCCCAAGGCATACTTTGGTCCCCTTTCAGGACACTAGGATGTACCAACTCCTGGTGTCCAGAAATGCCTTACAAAAGGACACATATCCTTGTGAGGTTATCTGATTACTGCTCTCACAAAACGCAGCGATGGAATGGCTTGTACTAGGACGCGTACTCACCAGCTTCATCTCGGAGTAGGGTGTGTGTTCTGCGGAGTGCAGGGATCTAGTGATGCAGTGCACCGGTGAGCGGGTCCTTATATACCGCTCCGACTGGCCAGCTGATATTTGGCGAGGCGTACACTCACCATCCCCGCAGCGTTACACTTTTACACGGACAAGGTCAGTGGAGGGCAGCCACGATCTGGCAGGGCGGCTGGACGATGGCTGGAGGTTCACCGTACGGTCTAGTCTGAGGCTGAGACAATGCATATGACGGTGATGCATCCTGGCAAACCTATAATGATGTGTTTATCCGGACGTCAAGCGCAAAATGGTGCGCTGGTAGAATCTCAACACAGCGGTCGTCCCGGGATTTGGAAAAAAATGTAGCATTGCTTGGATAAGTAGAAGACGCGGGGAAAGCATGCATGACAGCCATGGAAGATCTTGGAAAAGTTCCCTCACGTGCATTGGGCACCATAGCGAGAATAATTTTTTATCAACGCGTGGATATATTCGCTTCAACACTGGAGTTTTCGGAGTCATTTTTTGACCCTTGAAAACACACCCATCGGATGATTCTAGACACCCTAAGATCTCCCATGCAGGAGACTTACGACGCTCCTCAAGGGTCAAAATGGATTTATGAAAAACTTGAGACAATTCACAGAGTCAGGATACCCTGCCGATTCTGAACACGCGCCCGGGTGGCCAGCTAGATACCTTTCGCTCGGGTGGGGGAGGGGGTCAATTTGACCCCCCCATTGACATCTCGGGAACTAAGAAAGCTAGAGACACAAAATTTACAGGGTGCGTTGACCTGTTCGTGAACTCACTTAATTCAAAATTTCAGGTTCCCAGGTCATGACCTTTGTGCCAAGAAAGGTCAAACATGGACAAATTCCAGGTTGGTCTCGAAAGTGCCCTCAGAACTTAGATATCCGTTTCCAAGCAGGGTCACACTCCCATTTAAGGTCTGTGACCTTGTTTGAACTTTTTAAGGTCAAGGTAGCCAAAAGCATAAAGATTGCTGTCAGTTTTGCAATTGACTAAGCGACAAAGATCACGCTTGGCAGTATTTTCCTAAAACAAACTGTTGACCTCGGTTATTTTAGGTCAATGACCTATTCTGACCTCTAAGAAGTCCATGGAAGATGTATTATGCGGTTCCTGCTGTCAATAAACACGAAAGAAGCACCAGAAACCCTCCCACACGGCAAGCCGTAGAGTAATAAAACAGGTTGGTTTTAACCTTGGTGTTACCTAAGGTCCTAAGTATCTTGGCATATCTTTAACTGGCGTGGTCATTTAAAAGTAATGTGACTTTTGATGAAGAGAGATTGTTCTGTGGACCATACCCATCATTGCCCTTGACATAAGTTGACCATGGTAATCAGAATAAGTTGTTCAAAGTGATTTAAAGTGTTTCCTTTGTGTGTTGTCAACTTTGTCTGATATCAACAAGCATGCACAAATGAACTGAATAAAAATGCGGGTTGAAACCAGCCAAAAATTAGCTTTATCATGTTTCTATCACAAGTGCTGCTATCAACAGAGAGGTGAGCTGAGATGATGTTCAACATATAGGCTACTCTAAGTAAGGTTAAGTTGGTTAAGTGCATGGCAAGTGGCAACAGGAGCTGTGCAAGAATCAGTAACTCACAACTGCTGTTGTGATACAAACAGGTTAGACAGGATGAGATGAAGTAAGGCATCTTTAGGTTAGGCATAGTTAGGCTACTTTTATGGAAGCAAGCATCGATATTTTGTAAGAAACAGTGACAACATGCTTGTTTTTCCTGACCCCATCTGAACAGAAGCCAGAGGTATGTCTATTGTGTTGGACTTGGTGATGGGCTGATGTGTAGGAGCCCAATGTTTTTGTGTGAGTGTTTTATGTTTGTGGAATTGTCTGTTGTAACTTTGTTATTGTATTCCTTTGCTTTGTTTCGTGCTAAAAGTGCTGTGGAAGGGAGGTGAAAAGTGGAACATCAAATCATTGGTGTTAATAATTTTTCATGCTCATTACACTGTCATGAAATTGCTCTGCTTTAATGTATTCTGTTTCACTCTAATGGCCTAAGATGTTAAAAAACAAAACCGTTTTGTCAGGTTTATGATATTGTATCCGTGCGAACTTGAAATAGATGTCTTTGTTTGATGAAGTATCAGTCACTAGCTCATAAGTTCCATCTTTTGCGACTTGATGATTTTCGCTTACGCACAGTCTTTTGCGATTAAATTTTTCATTCTCATCCTAGTTCAAAAGAGATTCCAGCTCACTGATTTTTCTTGATATCGAACGCCACATGGCCAGCGGAATGGTAAGATTTCAATGACGTTATTATGGCGTCATTGATGCCTCATTAACCTTGAAATAGCTTGCACAAAGTAGTTCGCACATCTCCGTGGGCGCGTAGCTCAGAAACTCAAGGGTTTAGGTCTCAAGAAGAGCAGGGGTGTGAATTGCACCGAGTGACCTTCGAGATGGCTAGTTCAGTTCAAGACGCCATAAAAATGCGGAACACTTCTTTTATAAAACCCCACGAGAACGTCTTTGGTCAGGCCTCTCGTTATTAACATCGATGATGAACCACAAGAGGGACCACAAGAACATCTGACCTTTCAGCGGATCGGCTGCTGCTCTCGCTCGCGTGAGACTGTTAGCTGGGATGAGTTCGGGGTGTTCAGCCACTGCATTGCAGCGTTAGCGGGGCTGGACATCCTGCACGTGGGCTTCGGCAGTGAGGACGACCACGAAATTTTGGGCACACACGGCCAGGTGGCTGGCTGGATATTACGTGCTTGGGCGTAGTGGGTGGTGCGGGGTCGATTCGACCAGCGAGACCTCGTAAAATTACTACAGCTTGGTGATATCAAATTGTTAGAGCATGTGATTCTATACGTTAACTGGCGTGTCTGAAATCCCGAGATACCGAGATAGGGTCTTTGGGTCAAATAATGTCAAACAAGGTGACATTCCGGATCCGTGTTGAAAGCGTCGTCATGCCTCCTCATGCAACCATGTTGAACCGAGAGTCCTCTTCTAAGCAAATGGTCACTGGTGTTCATTTCAGGTAAATCAACTTATTTCACCTTGGGGATGTCATGCTGACCAAAAACAACCAGATTACCTTGAGATATGAAGTTCAATTAGTGCCAAGAACAAGGCTAGGAGGTATGCTTCTCACAAAGATACTGATCGGGGTCATTTTAGGCTACAAACCCCCTCTGATCTTCATACAATCCATATAATCTAAGACGTCACTGCGAGCATGGAATTCGAACTAAGCATCGAAAACTATCTCATCACATAATCTCCTCACTGGGAAAGCAATTTTGTTCTAAACTCGGTCTTTCCGTTAAACCTGAATTAAGTTGAATGGAAAAGTCACAAACCCAAATCTAACTGTCAAATTAACCATTCCATACAGGTACGGTTTAGCTCAACACTTCGTTGCCGAATCACATTGAGCGGTTTCTTAGGAACTGCTCTCGCTGGCAGCCATGGCCTGACCTTGACCAGCCATAGTTCAGCGATCTGACAAGGTTCATCGAAGTATTTATGCCAAATGATCGGTTGCTCAAGTTTTTGCCCATTGAACTTTTTGGGAGGTCGCTGTTTCCCAAACTAAAGGCATTGCAGCTACCTGAAGGTTACCGAAGTTCAGCTGAAGGAGGCCCCAGAACTAAGCTGAAGAGTAGCAAATGGGGCTCAAAAGACGCCCTCCTATATCGAGGCCCGTTTTCTGCATCATAAGGCTACATTTACGAATAAGCTAACGCATATTCTCGATCTGTAGGCCCAATTATATGTTCAAGAGGCCCGTTTTCTGGCTCGAGAAGCACCCATTACCAACTAATAGACCCCCGTTCTGGGTTGCAGAACACGCCCTACATTCAGGAAGCCCTATTTCCGGACCACGGGGGCCCTGTAGGGCATCAGATGAACGCGGCCTGAACCAGGATCCCCTGTTACGGGATGGTAAGACCTCTTAGTCGGATTTGGAGGCTTCTTCGTGAATCAGAACCATGCCGTTCTGGATTAGAAGGCCCTTGTATGCATCAGAATGTCCTTCTCTACAACAAGAGGCCCGATCTTAGGATAATAATGTCGTGGGTTGATGTCAGAACGCCATTTTATCTTTTGAATTATGGACATTGACGTACTTTGATACGGTGGATGTAGCAATGTGATTAGTAGGCACGCCCCTCCGTGCCGGTCCCCTTGAGCACGACACCACTCAGGAGGCTTCTTTGTAAAGAGGTCCCATTTATTTCAGGATGTTCCTGGAAACTCTTGCCTCCTCACCGACCTCAAAATTTGTGGCGCCGTCCCTTCCCACCGTTGCTGGAATTCATTGCTGAATCCCACAGGAACAATCCACATCAATGAAAATATAACGTATTTTAGAGACGTCACTGAAAGCGTTCCCTGGGGTGCTTGGACGGCGCGTGGAGCGACCTCGTGCTGGAGGCGGAGACGCATCTCGCCCGTACCTCTGCTTGGACCACCCGCAGTGTGATCTAGTCGTATGGCGCACTGACGTGTGGGCTGTGCGAAACAAGGAGAAGGCGTTGCTCTTGTTCCTTCTCCCCCAGCGCCTCTGCGCCCTGAGGTGCTCAGGAAGAGCACAGTCGGTGGTGGTATGCAATGACCGGACCGTATGTGGGATCCAGAAGCCTCCAAGAGTCGAAGTTGGCCCAGGAGGTGTTTAAAACCTCGTTCTCGTTTCTTGAGCGAACTAACTAATATGCCAGGTGGCTCTGTCCGTGCTAAGACATCACATGATATCAATGTCATGACTACAGCACTGCAGGCAACGATGGGTCGACAATAAAGTATTTACAAAGTCATCAAGAGCATAGCAGCAACAGCAGCAGTACAGGATATCGTGCTTTGATATTAATAATCTGCCATAAAAGCTGGCGATCGCTACGTTGCGTACGTCAAACAGTCCACCAAAGCTTTTCTTACAGCCAGCGCCCAGACAAAAACAAAAATCCACAAGCAAACCACCCACTAATCCGCCGTTCGACTTGACCCCCGCGAC